TTGCAGCCTGTCTATGGAGGCCACTTTCTATAAAATCTGTTGTAAGGCTTTTCCTTCAGAGTCAAATTTCTTTAGTTTACTTTATGTATGTTTGATGTGAAGGTGGTACAACCTTTACACACCACTTCTGTTCTTCAAAAAGGTTTCAAATGAAAAGTCAATTATTCTCAACTTCTGATAGATTTGTTCCTCTTTCAATTGTCAGATGAAAACCTCTGACTGAAAATGGTAAGTTTTTACTAGCTCCCATTCCTTGAATTTTCATAATGAACAATAGTTATTTCCACGTCTCCTACTCCAGGCTGAAGATCCTTCTTCCGACAGGAAAGAACCAAAATACCCTAGAACGAAAATTTTCCTGCTTCAAGGTAGGCAGTTCTGATAGTCTCTTCAGCATTAGCTTATTTTTTTCCCATTGAGTGGGACATCCCTGAGCTGCTATACCCTGTTGGAGGGGCTGTCATCTCTTTATACAGCAAGATAAAAATAGTAAAGGTAAGACCTAGTAAAACCCTAGAAGAGGCAATGAGGCAAGGAAGGCAGATAACATGATCCTGTCACATCCCATGTTCTCTGCACTGCCAGGGATACCAGCCACTGGTTTGTCATCAGCCTTTTAGCAAGAAACTTTCCATAAAATCCAGATACCCTTCCTAGACATTCCTCTTGGAATAAGAAATCAGTGAGAAACTGTAATTATCTGATACAGTTGGCTAGTGTCAGGTCAACAGATATTTTCTGCATGTTCACAACACTTCTGCATGCACGTTCACATGTACATGCTCGCTCTCTGTATACATAATTTTATCCCTCTGTCTTTTTTCTGCTGCTTGTGGTCTAAGAGAATTCCTCAGGCAGGGGCTGTATCAGTGGATGTTGGGGAAACTCTTAACACTTGGCAGATGTTGCAGCTAGTTTTATAAATAATAGACAATCATTTACATGCTAAATGAGAAATAGGAAACCACTGACACCAAAGCCATATTTGACATTGACAGATTTGGTATATGACAAGGACTATGAGGTAAAAACGTGTTTTAAAACCAAACAGCCATCAATACCTTAGTTTCTCTTAGGAAAAAGAACAAGAGGAGAAACAGGATTTTCACTCTAGTGCAAACCACGTTTAAAAGCTTATCTTAAGCTCACTGGCAAGCAAATTTTAATGACAATTTCAAAACCATGAAACCAAAATGTATGTCTGCATTTCATTACTATTTGCTAATACTTTGGGGGACTGACGTTAAAAAGACACCAGTACTTGTTCAATAAAAAGTACACTACACCTTAGATATTCTGGGTTTTGCTTCAGTTGCAAAATCTTTCTGTATTAGAGATAAAACCTGATAAAATTATTCTGGGAAAGTCACTGAGTTAGTGAATTTTTCAATTTATCCACTAACCTTCAGAGATTTGTAATTTTCCCTAGATAAAACATTATGAGTTAACAAATTTGAAGCTTGCGTTTCAGTTCCACTTTCACCTCATTCGGGGTTTGCGTTTCCTTACTTTAAAACAATCTCTTTGGGCTTTTTAAATTCTCTGTCTGAATGACTGCTAGAGGAGTTGGTAATAACATTTTTCCGCCGCACCGTACTGCATTAATTCGGACATGTGACACCAAGGTTTTGCTTTTCTCCGAGCAAGTATTTCTCTCCGCCGGAAGCACGTGAATAAGCTTGACTCACCATACATAGTACATTTCTGGTGGTATGAATCAGGAATTGCCCCAGCAGTGGAAGGCAGGCCCGGCACCCGGCCTCCCTCACGCCCCGGCCCTGTGGGGAGCCCCACTGCCGCCTGTCCTGGGAACAGGGAACATCGATTTCCTCGAACCCAGCAATGCACATACTCTCTCTTCAGCGGTCAAAGCAATTACTCACAGAGAGAGGGATTGGTTGTAATTTGCAGACTTGGGCAGATAATCAATTTTATTAGGCCTTTGCTGTACAGCCTGTTAGCTCCACGCAGGAACGGCTCCCCAAGGCCTTACCTGCGAGCTACCCTAAAATTCAGTGTCAGCACAGAGCCAGGCCTAACAGTGGAATCACCCTGGACACCGAACTGCTTAAGCACAACGTTTGGTGAGTTCATTAGGAGTTAATCGGCAGTGTGATTTCTGGACCACTCCACCCGTTTGATGAGGAAACAGCACCACAGGAGGGCAGCCCCATAGCTTGGCGGCAACCTTTGAACCCGGGCTCGCTGCCTGAACCCCTGCATGGATTTGTGTGCCCAACCCACAAGGCCTCAGCTCCTTTGAGGTGTCACCCCGAGAGGGGCGCAGGGAAAGGCCAGGCCGAGGCGTGCGGGCTGGGCCGGCCGCAACAGGCCCCATTC